TTTAGAATATTTTTGAATATTCCAACATAGCAACATTTCTTTGAATTATTAGGAAACCAAAGATATGAGGCATATCTTGCACCAGTTATTAATTTCTACAAAGGAACCAAGAAAGAAAAGGAACTATTTAGAATACGGAACAGTAATATAAGAATAGCACGGAAAAATCAAGTGCTCCCTGCATAAATGGTTGCATAGGCATGGATTAAATGGCGAATATAAAACGAAGAGAATGAGAAAGAAGTAGTAAATATTTCTTATTTATTCTCCTTCAGAAAAAAATGTTCTCTACAAAGCATCGTTAGGATAGGGAAGGGGGAGTCATAAATCGATTGGGCAACAGTCGTCACATAGTTATTGATAAGATTCATGAAAAAATATTTGAACGAAAAAATTTTACTTGGAAATTTATGAGGAGCGCGGATTATACGCCGTTAATAGAATTCATATAACTAGGATAAAATATTTCAAGAAGATTAAGATACGAAATACAATTTTTCCAGTAAGTTGTATTCTTGCCCCCAATTATATGACATATTAAAATATATTATATTTTACTCTTCTTTAAAAGAGGCCTTCGTTTGTTTCTGTACATCCATATGCATTTTTATGCATAACATAAATTAATTCTGATGGTACCAATTCTGGTATGGCAAATAGAATAATCTGTTTGGGAGCTTTTTGAATAAAAGAAGAAAAAGGAAAATAGTATAATGGCAAAAATAAATAATAAAAAACATAAGAAAAAATAAGTAAAATTCCTGATGTACGTCGTATTCATTTTTATATGAATGAGTTCTACTTATATGTTTATTCTAGGTATACTATAACATACATAAAAATAAAATTTCATCGTTTCAGTTCATCGTTATGTAGAATATGCAGGATATATGTATATATATATTTATTCATTTAAAATCAACAAAGGGAAATGCATGGAATAATATAATACAATAAGGCGCCGTTACGAAAAGAGTCTCTTTATTCGAAGAGTAGGTCATTGGCATGAAGGTGGCGAAATGAGGATTTTTTCGTTTATCGACTTCAACATTACTTGTATGACATCTTTATCTTTCGAGGAATATAAGTTTTTTCTTCTGTTTCTTAACGGTCTGTTCACGTTTATTAGATAGATAAGGCGTGCCATATAGGAATCGCTGAAATAGGTACATGTAGAACGAACTTCTTTTGAATGAATATTAGTTCGTATTAAATTATTATAAACTGAATCGACATTTGTGAGAATAATTTGAAGAAATATGTATCAATAATAGCTGTACACAGTGGAACCCTAGTTGTGGCTGATTCCTGCAAGAAATTATGTACAATATGAAAAGCTTCCATGCAGCTGTGTAACATATGTTGTCTTATAAGGGGTTCCTCTAATTTCATTTGGCCGTGTTCCTAACATTATGGTATGTTTTCATTCTCTGTCTCTAAATTGTGGGAGTATTCTTATTTACTGTAAAGATACAGGTTCATCTGGTTACTGACGAAGTGTTCGTTATCGTCTGGAGGAAGGCGTAGTCATATATGTTGTTTTGGAGAAGTAAAGATATTCAGCAGCAACAGAATGCAGTTTCTGTGAGAGTGGGTATCAACAAGTGTGTAATTATTTGAAATGGACGATTTCTTCAGACGCCTCTTATTATTTCTTCCTATTTTCTGAATCTTCTGTTCTGTATTATACAAATGGATGATTCAGTAATATTTAAATATATACTAGTTGTCTTCATAAGCTGGTTAATGCCCTCCTTCTATATATGAATAGTCTACCGACATAATCCGAGAACGACATAATTTGGTACTGGATACCGTTTATATGAGTTCAAACAATTAACATACATCAGTTGGGGAAAAAGAAATATTCGAATCCGATATGGGAAGTAATGTGAAGCATATAAAGTCTAATGTGTTAACTTCATGCAGTAATCCTACAATTTTGGGACACTGTTTTGGTGCCTTGTATAAACCAAATGGGAAGCTGAGGAATTGGAATCCATGAACAGCCTATGCTATGACGCCATGGACAATATGAATATATATAGGTACAACTTCAGGTTATTCCCCCTCTTGAAATATATAAAGTGTTGTTCCTGCACACTCTATCATCAAAATATATTAGAAAGCTTAGCGGGGGACGTATTTTATATATAATCCTGCAATATTACTTCTGGAAGGGAACATAAAGATTCATATGAAAGGTACCTGGCTTGATAGTGCACGACATAGGTGGTTTCCTATATGCTTGTTATATTCCATATTCGGTAGAACTATCCTACTACAGCATGAGTACAGCATAAGTCATGAAAGAGAAATATATACAACTGGCGTACTATCCATTGTTAAAGCAACTTACACATCCTTATTGTGAGGAACGTCGGGATGGAGAACTAGGGAGTTCGGGAACCATAGCTAAAAAATGGTAATAAGGGTTGTGTATACTACGAAAATAGAGGTCATGGGGATTTAGGAATATATTGTTAGAACTACGCCTAGATCTGTATACACGTAGGTGATTTTTAAATTCTTTTTAATTTTACTCAAGCATTAATGTTGAGAATCCTTGTAATAGGATAATTTAAGCATAGAAGCTCGTGAACTACATTTCGTGCGTATTGTATAATACTCAGGAAAGGTATATGGAACACTAGGTATCTTAAATACATGTATGTAGTTATATCTATTGCAAATGAATATAGATATTTGTACTAATTTTTTCTTATTGTATTTTTAAATTAGTTCTATTGGTGACGAGAAAAATAGGAATGATTTTTAGTAAATTTACTGTACTTGAATATAATGCAACCTTGACGGATGTGTGAAATGTAATAGAAGTGGAACCATGACTATTATGTTCGAGTTATGAGTTCATATGTACATCTTCCGTAATTGAACATAAAGCTACTGGCTTTATGAAGAGTACATGTTTGTGTATAAAATTAGCATAGTGTCTTTCAGGCAACACTTGTAATTCATTTTGAGTGAGTTCCGTTATAATGTCACTTCGCATTTGACGCTTAGGATTCTATAACTTCAGGTAATTTCATTTTTGGTATTATTTTCTGCATTTTTCATATATATTATTTGCATATTTTTAATTAATGTAGTTTCATTTAGTTACGTCCAAATGAATATCCATGTGGATGTGCTGAATTAAAGAACATACAAAATTGATGGGATAGATAGGCGCATTTATATGCCTGAGATTATATTTGGGAGCACATATGCATGATGTCGTTTTAGTATTCTTTTGAAACATATACCTCAGTAATGACACAACATATCTGTGA